TCCGGTCTGGCGTCTGGGGGAGGGTGTGGCCACAGGTGTGGAGTGACAGGCTGTGGCAGTTGTCACCAGATCCTCTGGGCAGGGAGCACTAGGCAGGCAAGGTCAGGAGCCCAGCGGCCCAGGACCCCAGGGAGGCGGGGCCGTGGCTCTGCCGGAATGTCCTTTCCCGTGACTCGGCTTTCTTCCCCTGACCCAGCCAGTCCTGGCCCCAATCCTGTCCACGGGGCTGCAACTGGCGCTGGGTGGTACGGCCAGGACTGAGGCAGGACAGGGTGGCCCTGCTAGGATCTGGAAAATGTTGTATGGGTTCCCAAGCACACAGGATGTGGGCTCCATGTGGCTCCCCCGGCCCTGGAAGGTGCCCTGGGACTCAAGATCTGTCCCCAATAGGAGTGGGGACTGTTCTGCCACCGTCCCTGGGGCAGCAGCCACGGTGACCCTCAGAAAAGCCTTTCCACATCTCTGTGCCGTGTCAGGACACAGAGGTAGGGCCTGGCTCCCACTCTGACTGGAGATGGGACCCTCGGGGCAGCCGATGGGGGAGAAACAGCCTCCCCTTCACGCCTGCCCCTCCCACAAAGGTTGCTCGTGGAAAAAGTGGGACCACGTCCCCCAGGGAGCTTAGGCCTTCCAGGTAGCAGGGTGGGAAGGACCTGAGGGCCAGGCCTGGAGCTGCGAACAAAAGGAGGCTGGGGCAGGTAGGGGCAGGTGGGGGCACCTGGGGCTGGGGGAGAGGTCAGGGCTGGGGCACTGAGGTCACGGGGGGCCGCCCTGTGAAGCCGCTCACTGGCCAGGGATGGTGCCACCTGTCCACTCCCCCACCTCCTTTCCTGCAGAAAAGGGCAGCCTGAGCCTAGGGCTTGACCCAGGGCCACTGTGGGGGAGCAGGCATTGGAGCCAGGTCTGGGCTGGCTGCTCCCCACACCACCCAGAGAGGAGCTGCAGTTTCGAACACACGCCGGCCTTCCCACCCCTCCCTGCAGCCCCAGGCCCCCAGAGGCACCATGGGCAGAGGCGTCTCTCCTGCTGCACCATCGCTCTCTGACACATCCAGGGTTGCTGAGGGAGGGGCATGCTCCCCGGAAGGCACCTTATCCAAAACCTGAGTGGTGTTCAGTGCCCAGGTGCCCACAGTGCCCAGGAGCTGTGTGTCAGATGGAGACTGGCCACCTGGGCCCTGGTACCAGGCCTGGAGCCCTCTCCCCCAAAACAGCTGCTGGGTCCTTCTGAAAGCTCAGCACTTGGAGGTCAGGGGTACGTCATGCTACCAGAGTGCCAGAATCCTGAGGGAGGGACCCGGGGGCTCGGCGGCTCTGGCCTCACCTCACAGGGCCCTGTCCCAGGTGGCCTGCTTGCTGGTGGCTCTGTGCCTTTCCTCTGGGTAACAGCCTGGTTTCCAGTGCAGGCCCCCAGCCTCAGCTCGGCAGCCATCACTCCAGGACTCCTCGATCTCCCAGTCCCATCCTGGTCAAAGCCCACAGACTCGACCTCTGCCTGCCAGGAGCCAGTGCTGACTGGCCTGTGTGCTCCGTTCCCCTGAGGGCAGGCAGGCTGCACCCAGCTCTGGGGGGGCAGTCGCCAGCCCACAACCAGGGGAAACCATGCCTAAGAAGGTGCCAGGCCTGGGGCTCAGAGCCAAACTCCAGGTGCTCGCTGGGTCCCTTGGAGCGACGAGTGGGCGTCTTCCCAGCTGGGAGAAGACATGGCTCTGGCAGGGATGCCCCTTTGTGCTTCAGGAGGCAGGAAAGGGCAGTGACGCCCCGGGCTCTCCTGCTCCGTCTCCCTCCCCTGGCTGCTGCTCTATGGTGGGCGTTCAGGGTTCAGGGCCAAGCAGACGTGGAAGGTGTTTTGGTGGCTTCAGTAGGGGCCCCAAGCCCAGCTGGCAGGCCTGGTGACCCAACAATCTGGGACCAGGAGCGCGGTGCCCCCGCCTGCCCGGCCGGCAGTGGCCCATGGGGTACCCCTTCCCACAGCTGTCCGGGCCGTCCCACGCCCCTCTGCTGCTCTCCCTCACTGCTGTGCCCCCAGCCTCCGTGGAAAGTGACGAATCGCCTGGCGGGAGAAGATGGGAGCACCACCTGCCCTGGGCGGGAGCACGGAACGACCACGTGGGGCGTTCATCCGCGAAGTCCGAAGACCCCTCACCGGGCGGGCGGGAAGCGGGGCTGTGTCCTCACCCCTTGCCCCAGGCCTGGGTGCTGCTCACAGGCACATGCTCTCATCACGTTTTTCGGCTTTTGGCGATGGGGGTGGTTGGGGCCCAGGGAGGGTGGGCTCACGACATTGCTGGACTCGGCGGCCGGAGGGCTGGGCTCCAGGTGGGGACCCCGCAGCGCGCACGGCCTCCGCCGTCCTCTGGAGGGTCCTCCACCGGTACCCACCGCCTCCTCGGTGTGAAGGGGTAACACTGGGCTTCAGGGGCCCCCAGCTCCCCCAGAGGATGTCTCTCCAGGTTCCTGGGCTCCTGCCGTCTTAAGAACGAGCGCGGAGCGCGCGGTGCGCAGGAAATGCCGGACTCAGGGCGTCTGCAGAAAGGAGGCCGCTGCCGAGCGAGGGTCCGCGGAGAAGGGCCCGGGGAGGAAGCGGGCGGCGCCCGGGAGGGGGACCCCGCAGGGAAGTCCCGGCGGAAGGAAGATGGCTCCCACGGAGGGAGCGCTCCCGGAAGGGGCCCAAACGCGGAGCCCCGCGGGGTGTGAAGACGGGGACCCCCGCCTGGGAGGACCCCCACCCTCTCCCAGAGCCCTGGCCGAGGGACGGAGCTCCTCCGCACTTCGCTGGAGTGACTGACTCTCAGCTTCTTCCCGCGCCCGCGAAGTTTAAACGTAAAGCGTTAAATCCCCCGGATGGAGAGACGGGAGGGGGCGCGGCGCTGGGTTCTTGCCCCCGACACGGCGCCCCCCGCGGGCCGGAGAGAGACCAGCTTCCCGCAAAGGCGGGTCCGCGAGGGGCCGGTACCGGGAGGGCCTCCCGCGGGCGGCAGCTGCGTCCTCGGTCCGGGCCAGCAAAGGCCTCGGGCCCCGGCGCCAGAAGCGCCCCGTTATTCCGCGTAACGGGCGGGGAGAAGCGCCCGGGTTCTGGGCCAGCGCCGAGCGGGCGGCTTCGTGGGGCCACCCGGGGAGACGGAAGTTCAGGGAGGGCGAGGCCTCGCCCCGAATCCCGGCAGCACAGGCCGCGCGGCCGCTCCCCGACCCCGGAGAAGCCGCCGCCCACACCGGCCGCGGCCCCGGGGCGGAAGCGGAGGTCCGGACGGGGACAGGTCGGACCCGGGCCCCAGAGCGGAGCGAGGCGCCGGAACCCCACGGGCCGCGCGCACCCCCCAGTCACGGGCTCCGGCGCCGGGCGGCCAGGGGTCGCGCTCCGCTCCGGGCCGGGGTGTTCGGCAGCCTCGGTCTCGGGAGGCGAAGCGGAGGGACGCGAGGGCGCCGCGAGCCTGGACGCCCATCCCGGCGCCGGGGGCAGGCGAGGCCGGGTGGCCCCAGTCGCGGGGCGCGGAGGGGGCGGGTCTGGCCCGGCGAGAAGCGCAGCTCTGGGCCGGGGGCGCCGACGGGGCCGGTTCCGGGTGGGAGCATCTCGGGGCTCGGCGGGGGCTGCGGGCCGCGCCGTCGGGGAGCTGCGGCCCGGGAACCCCTCCGGCGGCGGCGCGGGGTCCGGGCGGGGCGCGCAGGGGCGGCGCCAGGCGGTGACGTGCGCGGGGGACGTGCCGCGCGAGCGACCGGAACACTTAAAGTCGCCCCCGGCGCGGAGCCGGGCGGCAGAGGCGGCAGAGGCGGGCGCGGCGGCCCAGCGGCGGCAGGTAGGCGCGGCCCGGATGCTCGGCGCGCGGGTCGGGGCCCCGGAGCTTCTGAGCCGCCCGGGGCGCCAAGCCAGTGCCTGGCAAGGGGGTGGCCTCCGGGTCCGCGCTCTCACCCCGCCCCAACTTCGCCCGTCAGGACCGGGGGCGCCCGGGGCACGGACTAGGCTTCCCGCCCCCTGCGGCCCCCACCGAGAGCCAGCCGCGCCCCTCCGCGCCCTCGCATCCCTGGCTGCCCAGTCTGGCCTTCCCGGGTCCGGCCCGGCGCCCACCCGTCGGGCGGCTTCAGGGGCTGGGCTCCGGCCCGGAGGTGGCCGCGCCGGCGGCCAAGCCCGGTCCGGGTATAAATAGCTCGGTCCGCGGCGGCGGGGGGCGCGGGCTATATTTGGTGGGGCTGCTGCAGCCCTCCCCGGGGGGGTGGCCTCTCCGAGGGAGTGGGGAGCACGTGCGCTCGGGCCGTGGCGCTTTCCCGGTTCGCGTCACCCTAAACGCCGACCCACGCCCGCCCTCAGGTAATGACTAACAGCCTGCGCCGTGCGCGGAAGTTGGGACTCCTTCTAGAGGCGGGCTGGGCTCCCTGGGTCCCCCCCACCTCCCACCCCTTGGCCCCAGCTCGTGGGAAAACGAGGCACGGCCTTCGTTAGCCTCCCACTTCCTAACCCTCGCCTCAGTCTCCCTGTTCTAAAAGTGGGTTGGTCAGGCGCCTCCTCCGGTGTTGGGCCAGTCAAGGGACAGGGGCCGCAGAGTGGAGGGGAAGCCTTGGCTCTGGCCCGGGCTACCGGGGGTGGCTGGAGTCGGTGAGGAACGACGGGGCAGCGTCGAGCCGCCGTCCCCCGCTCTGTCCTAGAGGCACCGAGCTGCGTGGCCAGGAAGCCTGGGCTGAAAGGGTCCCTCTCCCGGCCAGAGTCAGGCCTGCTGAGCGGGGGAAATGCCAGTTGGCCCCACCCCAGGGCCCAGGGGCTTGTCTACGCTGAGCACAAGGGTGGGTGGCTTTGTGTCTTTTGGGGCTGGGGAGCCCAGGGTCCCAGCTTCACTGCACAGGCCTGGGAAGTCAGGTGGGTGCTGGCCTGAACGCGCTGGGAGGGACAGGACCAGCTCCCCCGGCGTGGTGTGGCGGCCGGGCTGCACTCCCTCGTGGTGGGCAGAAACTGGAGAGGGGCGCTAGGACGCCTGAGGGGTTTCTGCCCCCAGCGAGGCTCTGAGTACTTACGGACACTGTCTTGGCAGGTGCAGGGTCTTTCCCCAGGACTCCGTGGTGTGGACAGAGCTTGGGGTAGGAATCTAGAGGCCTGGTTCCAAGGCAAGCTTGGTAACGACCCCGTGTGACCTTGGGCAGGGCCTGCCATCCAGGCCACCCAGAAAGCCATGTGGCCCCAGTGACCAGAGCGGCGTACTTTACTTTGGCGGGCTGGCTTAGTGGTGGGTCCTGGGGTGACCTGGCCACATGGGGCGGAAAGGCCAGTACCACTCCCTCGAGTGAAGAGCCAAATGTGGTCTACACTCTGGGCCCCAGCGGGGCGCCTTCTGGGCAGAGGCGCAGAGCCATTGGAGGTGCCCGGGCCCTGGCGCAGGGGCGGGGCGGGAGTAGACAGGGCTCGGGGCGTCCTCACGGCGTCTCCTGCCCGAGTCAGCCCCGTCTGTGAAATGGGCCGCTCCAGGCAGCCGCTCGCACAGAACCGCCGGGCCCCTGCCCCGAGACTCGAAATTCACGAGTCAAAGTCCCTGAGCCCCGAGCCGCGCCCACTCGTCCCACCTCTGCAGCAAGTGGAGCCGGCCCCGCCCTGTGGCTTCGAGGCCCGACGCCTGGCGCGGCTCCCAGGCTCCGCTAACCCTGGTGGACCCGCGCGCCGGCAATTACGGTAGCGTCCGGTAGGGCGCCTACTGCGGGCAATACGGCGGCTCCTCCTATGGCGCGGTCACGTCCCCCACGTCCCGCGGCCGGCGGGGCGGGTCCGGGCGGAGCATCCTCCCGTCCCCCTTCTCCCTCCCCGGGTGGGCTCCGCCCAGCCTCCCCCGCAAGCGCCGACCCCTGCCCGCAGAACCGGGAAGCCAGAACCGGTCAGGGGCGCACAGAGGGGCCTGTCCTAGCGAGGGTGGAGCTCTGGGCTCCCCCTCCGCCCCCACCGCCCGCCTTCCTGCCTCCTCCGGGTCACCCCTCCCCACGGGTCCCCACGACGCCTGCTGGGAGGCCACGGCGGGGGAGCCTCCAGACCCGAGTTCCCCTCCAGGCTTGGCTTTCGGACACTGGCTTTAGGGTGGAGGGGTGCACGGGAGTCCAGGGATGGGACGAAGTGTCTTCGCGGAGGGGCGGCCTTGCGGGGTCCGGGAGGCCTCCGAGGTGGGGGAGGGCGGCTCTGGAACAGTTGGTGGCGCCCACCGCCTCCCCACCTCAGTGCGGTGACCTCAGCTTGCAGAGAAGGGGGTTCCAAGCTCTGAGACCCCACAGTGGCAGCTCTGGGATGAAGCCTGCTGTGGCACAGGGCAGCCTCCTTTTTCCGCATGGGACTTGCGCCCAGCAACCCTTGGGGCACCAGCTGGGGGTCTCCTGGCGCTGGCCCTTGGTGGAAGTGGCCGATCTGCAAATGAGGCCTGTGTGTCTGCCCCACCCATCCCTGTGTCATGATGTGAGTGGACACGGTGGCAGGGCACAGGCATGCGCAGGAGTCTGAGATGGGGTACAGGGTCCAGGCCTGGGCAGCCCCTTGTCCAGCGTCCACTCCCTGACAGCCCGGCCCCCTACACCTTTGCAGGCGGCTGGGCCTGGGCCGCAGGGAGGGGCTGGTGCTCCTTCCGTGTTTGCACAAGGGGAAGAAGAACTCACGGAGGCCCCTCCCTGGGTGCAGTGCCCTCCTGCCCTCCCGGCACCCCTTGCCAATCCCGAGCTAGCCAAAGGGTGGGGGAGGGGGCTGCTTCCTTGGTCCTGGGGCGGCTTCCAGGGATCCAGGAAGGAAAGAAATTGCCCTATTCCTGCCCCGCCTCCTGCCTGGGCCACAAAGGCAGGGCCAAGGCCCATCCTTCAAAGGCTGGAGTCAGTTAGGTAACAGGCCACTGCCCTGGGGCTCAGGCCACTGTACAGACCCAGACAACGGGCTGACAGTCCAGCGGAGGCCTCAGCGAGGTGGTGGTGCTGCTCGAAGACCTGAGGACCTAAGCGGGTGAGGGGTCTGCAGGTCCAGGGCGCCCAGTGCTCCCAAGGAGGTGGGCGAGGTTTCTGGAGAGGCCTGGAGGGGGCAGCTGGGCCGCTGGGCTCAGGTTCGGGACCCTCTTTGTATGCATGTTGCCATAGACTCTGCAGGACCTGGCATGGTCTTCCAAGCCTTCCAGGCTGGTGACCCGGCAGTGCAGGGGTCCGACCTGGCAGGAGCCCAGGTCCTGAGGGCTTCATGGCCGAGTCCTGGCCCCAAACCAGGGGTCCTTAAGAGACCCCTGTGCTCTGGACCCTTGAGGGAATTGCTTGCTCATGAGGACTCATGAGACAACGTGGCTCTGGGATGTGGGGGTTTCCTGGGAGGGTCCTCTCCACGCACCCCTGCCCCAGACCTCCCTGCTCAGCTTTAGCAGCCCAGGGTTCTGGGGCCTTCAGGGACCCGCTCTCCAGGCAACACCACCTGGGAGATCAGCTTTCTCAGCCCAGAGGCCAGGTTATTTCTGGGTGGGTTGGCATGCTTCCTGGGGGTGAGGGGCGGGGGGGGGGCAAGGCCAGCCTGTAGTGTGTGCCCACGGAGAAGCCAATGCCTGGTGGCTGTGGTGTGGCTCCAGGCAGGGCAGTCCCAGGGCTGTCCTTGGAACACCAGCCGGCCCGCACCTGGGTCCGTCGTGATGCTGGGGTTATCCTGGGAGGCAGGGACTGTGGACTGTCGTTCCGTGCCCCTTCCCCTACTGCACCTCCTGTGGAATCCTCTCCCACAAGCTGTGTGGGCAGACGGCAGGCCGGAGTGGGAACTCGTGGGGCCATTTCATTCTGGGTGACTGGCACTCCAGGCTGGGTGAGGGCAGACGATACTGCCAGGCTGTGGTCTGGAAGCTTCTTGTCCAAACGCCTCATCTCCTTGACACAGAAGATGGCCCTCCCCACGTGAGCGTCACGTGGAAGCCACAAGCTCCTCAGGTCCCAGAACATGCTGTGCTCTCCCAGCCAGTGAGTCCTGGCACTGCCCCAACGGTCTGCCAGCCCTCCTTGACCCTAGTCCAGGGGGCACCACATATCCCGAGGGCGGCTGTCATCTCCCGCCTCCCCACGCGCCCTCGTCTGTCTCCTGAGGACGCTGGCGGGCATCGAACACTGGGTTTGCCTGCGTCCCCTGCCCCGCCGGTACAGCCCAGGTAGACTCAGAGACCCCGGTGCCCGTTTTTGGAGGGGACCCTGGGGTATGCAGAATTTGACTGTTCCTGTTTGTTGTATATACATTTCCTTCCTTGGCCTTGCATGGTCCGTTTGATGTATTTTAAAAAGTGTAAACCCACAGTCCCAAACAAGCTGGGACCCTGAGGCCGTCAATCCCTCCCGTCTCCCCCATGGCCCACATTCTGCATCCTGTTCCTGTTTCATTCCTCAAGTGCATGTATTTTTAGCATCTCGTCGTTACCTTGCTATGTAGTGTCATCTTAGGGACCTTTGAAACTTAATGCCGGTATGAGCAGGACCTGCCCTGCTGCCGAGGGACCCCAGGCACGGTGGTGGGGGCATCCGGCGCCCAGGTCCAGGCAGAGGAAGAAGGTGCTCCTGGGTTTCCCAGAAAAGGACCCAAGGCCTTGGCCCCGGGGAGCCAGCGCAGGCTCTGGGGTGAGCCTCGGGGAGGCCGCGTCTGCCTTATCGTCCAGCCGCAGCTGGCTCCCCTCGTCAAGCCGCATTTCCCAGTGACAGCGACTGCGTGGAACACTTGGGGAGCCCTTAAAGACCATGCTCAGACCTCTGAAGCAGGGACTCCCAGGGGCACAGCGCCTGCGGTGGGGCCGGTCCGGCAGGCTGGATGCGGGGAGGGCCCAGAGGGGGAGCAGGCGCAGCACTGACACTCACCCAGCAAAGGTCTTGCCCTTGTGCGGCTCCTGCCTCTAGTTAGGTGTCGGCGTTAGAGGCAAAGGCAGGCCGTCCACATGGGACCCACCAGGTTAGGGGTGTGTGGACACGCTTGCAGGAGGAATCCAAGGAAACGGGGCGGGGGGTGGTGGTGGTGGAGCCCCAAAGATTGTGTCTCAGGCGGTCGTGAGCTTGCACCGAAGGCCTGCTGCTGCCTCCTGGGGCGCTGGTTCACAGTATGGCCCCAGGAGGGAGAAGCCAAGCTGGCTGGACTAGACCACTCAAGGCCTTGGGTTGCAGTCCCTGGTGACGAGGGAGACAGGTGACTTCTGGGTAGGGCGGCGCATGAAGATGGAAGTCTGGCCCTGGGTTCCAGCTTTACTCTTCCCCCAAACGAGCTAAGCTCCTGGAGTTTACAAAAGGGATGCCAGCTTCAGACGTCGTGGGGGCTGGTGTGGTTTGCTCTGGTGGGATGGATGGAAGCCTCCCTGGCCCCCGCCTCCCCTGGAGGCTCCAGACATTCCTGAGTTCAGGCTGCAGCCTGTGGGTCCCTCCAGGCGGAGGTGGGGTGAGCCTCTTCCCACTGGAGGAGTCGCTGAGCAAGCACACTAGGGGAGGCAAGGGGGCCTCGAGGGACACGATGCTAGCTCTGCCCCCACTTCCCCACCCCACCTACCCTAATGCTGCAGCCCCTGTGCTTCTCAATTGTCTCCTCCAGCCAGGTGCCCAGCCTCCCACAGCCAGCAACTGCCCCCTTCCTCTTGGTGCAGGCTCCACTGAAGCCAAAGCGGGCCCTTGGGGGCAGAGGAGCCAGGGCAAGGCACACTCCACCTAGATTTAGGGAGAGGCCGGGAGGACACCGCCTCCAGAGGCCCCAGGGCAAGCTTGGTGCTGGGGACTGAAGGGGCAGGCTGCTGCCAGAATCATAGTGTGCGTGGCCCCTGCCCAGCACGGGTCGGCCAGGAGAACGAGCCAGGGCAGAAATGACGGCCAGGCCCATGTTCCTGCCGGGAGCTGCTCATCCCGGGAGGTAATGTGAGTCCTGGCTGAGCCCAAAAAAGCCACTGCCCTTTAGAACCAGCTGTGTGGGTGCAGGAGGCAGTGCAGAGGGAGGTGGGTGGACTGGGATCCCCAATTGCTGGCCTCCCTGCAAACCCTCCTGCCTGCACCGAGCAGCAGGTCAGGGGGCCACTAGTGTGGGTGCTGGGCAGCTGCCCCACAGCTGAGCTCCTGGGGCGTCTGGCCCAGGTGCCAGCCCCAGATGTGTGGCAACCAGCTCGCGTCCTTCCCCTGCCGGGCTGCAGTTGGGGCTGGTAACCCGGGCAGCCCGAGTCAGCCTGCTTTCTCTCTCAGGTGAGGCGGAACCAGCCCTCCTGGCCATGGGAGGGGCTGTGGTGGACGAGGGCCCCACGGGCGTCAAGGCCCCCGACGGCGGCTGGGGCTGGGCCGTGCTCCTGGGCTGCTTTGTTATCACGGGCTTCTCCTACGCCTTCCCCAAGGCTGTCAGTGTCTTCTTCAAGGAGCTGATTCGGGAGTTTGGGATCGGCTACAGCGACACAGCCTGGATCTCCTCCATCCTGCTGGCCATGCTCTACGGGACAGGTGAGGGCGGCCTCCCGCTGGCCCCCCCACCCCCGGGCTCTACTGGCAGATCCTGCCGGGCACAGGAGTCCACGTGCGGCTGGGCTTGGCACAGCGCCTTCCACCCGCTCCCCAGGGAACCCTGGAGGGAAGCCCTTGGGGCTGGGATCCTGCTGGGCAGCGGCTTCTCCGTGGGGCCAGCCCAGAAAGGGTGAAGTCCGTCCTGGCCCCCGTCCAAACGGGTCGGCCGTATTTATAGACAGTCCAAGAGCACGGCGCTCGCGAGAGCCGTTCTTGAAAAGAGGCTGTTCCTGACTGCGGGACCAGTGGGGCCCAGCGGGCAGTGCTCGTGTTATCGGCTCTGCGCGCGGGGAGCCAGCCACACGGTGCCCGTGGCACCCCGCCGAGGGAGGGGCGGCGTGGGCAGGGCAGGCCGGCTGCAGGCCCGGGCCCGCCCCCCTGAGCTGCCGCCCCCCGCAGGCCCGCTCTGCAGCGTGTGTGTGAACCGCTTTGGCTGCCGGCCCGTCATGCTTGTGGGCGGCCTCTTCGCGTCCCTGGGCATGGTGGCTGCGTCCTTCTGCGGGAGCATCATCCAGGTCTACCTCACCGCCGGAGTCATCACTGGTGCGCGCGGCCGCGGGGCCGGGAGGGGCGGGGCTGGGCCCTCGCGCCGCCTGTCCCGGTCTCTGGAGGGCAGCAGGGCAGGTGGCCGCGGGGCGCCTGGCTCCGCCGCACCGGCTCCTCCTCGAGGGTGTGGGTGGCAGGGGCTCCGCACAGCGGGAGCCCTGGGGGCAGAGGCGAGGGTCCCGGGCTCCGGGGGCCGCCCTGGGGGTGCACTCACCCCCTTCCCTTTCCTCCAGGGTTGGGTCTGGCGCTCAACTTCCAGCCCTCGCTGATCATGCTGAACCACTACTTCAGCCAGCGCCGTCCCATGGCCAACGGGCTGGCGGCGGCGGGCAGCCCCGTCTTCCTGTGCGCCCTGAGCCCGCTGGGGCAGCTGCTGCAGGACCGCTACGGCTGGCGGGGCGGCTTCCTCATCCTGGGCGGCCTGCTGCTCAACTGCTGCGTGTGCGCCGCGCTCATGCGGCCGCTGGCGGCGGGGGGCTCGGGGCCGCGGCGACCCTCCCGGCGCCTGCTGGACCTGAGCGTGTTCCGGGACCGCGGCTTCGTGCTGTACGCGGCGGCGACCTCGGTCATGGTGCTGGGGCTCTTCGTGCCGCCCGTGTTCGTGGTGAGCTACGCCAAGGATCTGGGCGTGCCCGACACCCAGGCCGCCTTCCTCCTCACCGTCCTGGGCTTCATCGACATCTTCGCGCGGCCGGCCGCGGGCTTCGTGGCGGGGCTCCGGAAGGTGCGGCCCTACTCCGTCTACCTCTTCAGCTTCTCCATATTCTTCAACGGGCTCGCGGACCTGGCGGGCTCCACGGCGGGCGACTACGGCGGCCTGGTGGTCTTCTGCATCTTCTTCGGCATCTCTTACGGCATGGTGGGGGCCCTGCAGTTCGAGGTGCTCATGGCCATCGTGGGCACCCACAAGTTTTCCAGCGCCATCGGCCTGGTGCTGCTGCTGGAGGCGGTGGCCGTGCTCATCGGGCCCCCGTCCGGAGGTGAGCGCGGGGCCCTCGGGCGGTTCCCACGCCTGCCTTCCGGCCAGAGGCTCCCTGCGCACCCCTCGGCTGCCGTGGGGCTCGGTGCTGGAGGGGGGCGCACTGTGCCGGACCGAGCCTGATTCTGCCGGGGCCAGCAGGTCCCCATTAGGAGTTAGGGGCTCAGCCCGGCAGTGTACCCCCCGCAGACAGGGCGACCAGGGGCTGGGCCCAGGTGTGGCGGGGCTCCTCCAGGCTCTTGTCTGCAGAGGGTCCGGCCTCTGGTTATGTGTCAGCGTTAGAGGCAAAGGCAGGCTGTCCACGTGGGACCCACCAGGTGAGGGGGCTGCGGACAGGCTTGCAGGAGGAATCCAAGGAAAGGGGGTGCGGGTGGAGCCCCAAAGATCGTGTCTCGGGCAGCAGTTTCGGGCAACCCGCAGCTGGTTTTTGCATTTTGGGGACTTTCCTTTTTGAAGGCTGACTGACCTAACACGAGGGAACTGAGTTCTGACTAGAGGACCCTCACCCAGGCTCTGGCTGCCTGGCAAGGGAGGGTCCTGAGCTTGGGGGTGGGGGCGGCGGCAAGGCCTCACCACCTGACTCCTGTCTCGGGGTCCGAGGTAGCCGGGAAACAGGGCTGGTGCTGAACGAAGCAGGGCTTCTGGGGCTGCTAAGTGGAAGCCTCGGGGGGTCTGGGGACCAGCGTGACTCCTACCACCTACCAAGGCCCAAACTCCACTCAAAGCCGCTTCTGTTTTTAGTCTCTTAAGTCTTGGCTTCCCTGGGGAGGCGGGAGGGAGGCTGAGGTGCCCCCAGCAGGAACACATGGAGGGAAGAGAGCGCTTCCTGGTTCCAGGAGCTGGGAGGCACACAGGGTGGCCCGTGTGTGCTACAGACACCCAGGAGACACCGGCTTGGGTGGGGCCCTGGGCGCCCGGGGACAGCTGCACCCGCACAGGAGCGGCTGGGACTGACAGGGTCTTCCTGCAGGCAAGCTCCTGGACGCCACCCACGTCTACAAGTACGTGTTCCTGCTGGCGGGGGCCGAGGTGGTCACCTCCTCCCTGATTTTGCTGCTGGGCAACTTACTCTGCATCAGGAAGAAGCCCAAGGAGCCACAGCCTGAGGCAGCAGCCACGGAGGACGAGAAGCTCCACAAGCCCCCCGCAGATGCGGGGGTGGACTCGAGGGAAGTGGAACATTTCCTGAAGGCCGAGCCTGAGAAAAACGGGGAGGTGGTTCACACCCCAGAAACCAGTGTCTGAGTGGCTGGGAGGGGCCGGCAAGCAGCGGGAGGAGGTACGGAGGCTGGCAACGCTTGCTATTTATTTTACAAACAGGACTGGCTCAGGCAGGGCCACGCTGGGCTCTGGCTGCCAGCTTAGCAGATCGTCGCCCGATCAGCGTTTTGCAGGGGGAGGTGGCGGGGCAGGAACTGTGTCATTCCAGAGTGGACCTGCGGTGAAGCCTCGAGGTTACAAGGCATCCACAACAGGGGCCCTGCCTGCTGCTCCCAAATGGCCTGCGGCCACTATTGTGCTCAAGGACCTAGAAACCCATGCCGCAAGATGAGATGACTTGAATCCAAGGGTGGGCTGCGGACAGGCTGGTGGGGCAGGTGCTGTGTGGGGCCCTCCAGCCCATCCTACCCTGGGTTCTCACGTGCGGCCTGTACCCACCCTTCAGTGTCTTGGGGATAGCTTCTGCCACCCCTGGAAGGTGAAAATAAACGTGCGTGTGGGTGGTGTGTCAGGACGGTCCTCTAGGCGTGTGTGGTTTTGCTGTGTGGCCTGACTCTGCGCCCCGAATCTCGGGTCTGCTGATGGCCTGGTTCCTACAGTGGCTCTGTCCTCACCAGCTTTCCCTGCAGCAGCAGTGTTCATGGGGGGGGGGGGGGGGGGAAGCAGACACTGTGTGGCTTATCCTGAGCACCTAACACCCACCTGCCCTCGTGGCCAGCAGTGGCCTGCGTGGCTGGGAGCCCGGTCAGAGGCCGCCGGGGCCCTCAGTAGGTGCGTCGCGGGCGCTGGGGACGGCAGCGGGTGCCCTGGCGGGCCGCATGCAGCCGGAGAGACGCCACATCCCTGCTCCTCTGCAATGAAAAGCAAGCGAAAGTGCACGTCTCAGGCCCAGCTGCCCCATCTGCCCCTGGCCTTGCCCAGCTGGGCTTGAGCTCTTGCAACCCAGACTCCCGCCTGCAGCCTCAGGGCAGTGGAGGTCCCCACCTGGGCGCAGGCAGTGCTGGCAGCTGCAGGGATCACGGCGGAGCTCTGCACAGCCAGGGCCATGTGTCTCCAGAGTCCGCCAGCCCCACCCAGACGCTGAAGGGAGCAGGAGGAGGTGGGAGCAGGCAGCCTGGGTCTCGGAGGACACATGCCTTCCTTGGCTGGCCCTCCCATGTTGGGGCCCCAGGGAGGCTGCTCAGACCCGGGGGCACCCCCTCTGGACCTGGCTGTCCCTGGTTCTGCTGGGCTTATGAAGGAACTGGCAGGGAGGTCATGGGCCAGGTAGGGGGTGCCCGTTCCTGGGACCCCGTGTCCAGGTATCTCGGGCCCTCACCCTCCCCTGGGCGGGATGCGGGCCCTCCATCTCAACTCTCACCCCTGATGTGCCTCACTCTGGTCCCCACACCCAGAGCACACAGCAGTGCCGCTGCCGGAGAGACGTGCCTGAGGGACACTGCTCAGTGATTCAGGAGAGGTCCAGATGTGGAAAGGTCACCATGCTCGGCTGGGGTCCCTGCACTGTAGGGTGGGCTGAGTGGGTGTGAGTTCTGCCACCCCCTTCTTCGGCTGATGCCTTTATGGGAGACAAGCCACTGGGCAGTGGGTCTGGTCTGACCCGGCAGGTGTGAGCGAGGGGGAAGGAGGCCTGGAGCCCACTGGGGGAAGCTGGGGACAGAGCTACCTCCAACCCTGGGGACAGATTCTGGTGCCCAAAGTGGCTCAGGTCTAAGGTGCTATGAAGACCCCCCGACCAGACACACATTTACCCAGAACCCACTGCTACATGGGGGCCGGGGTGGGGGCCACAGACATCGTCATGTGACCCCAGATCAGTGGGAGGAGGGGAGGTGCCCACCTGGCTGGGCCTTCCCTGAGAACAACCCTGGAACGGATGTGTGCAGGGCCCATGCGGGGGAGGGGATGGGGGCACAGGAGACCCAGAAAGGGCCTAGTGGCCCCAGATGCCACCATCCTCTGCCTTCTGAAGGGTCGGTGAAGCTCCGGGGAGGCACTGCCTAGTACCTGAAGGGCCTGCTTTTCTCAGTGTCTAAACCATGTCTGATGACAGAGACCCAGCCAGACTCAGGTTCAGAGAACAGACCCTTTAACCCCGTGCGCACTGGCCCTCACAGATCAGAGGAGATGTACATTCCACCACCCAGCAGGCCTGGAAGACAAGCAGCCCCTGCTCCCTCTCAGGGCAGGGAAACCCAGGAGGGAGGCAGTGGGCCTGGGAAGGTCAGGCAGGAGCTGGAACATGGCTCTTGCCATTTTCTGGTTGGGGCCGGTATGGCATTGAGTGGGGTGGGGGCTGAGCCTCACCCATGGCCAGTGAGGCCCCAGACAGTGTCTCAGTCTGCACCAGCAAGAGGGAACATGTGAGGTAGCCCGGAGACAGGAAGGCCGGGAAGCCAGCTCAGGATGTCTAGGCTACGGTCAGAATGGCCAAGAGGAAGGGCCTGGGAGGAGGCAAAGTCAGGGCAGGAGGGGCTGGCAGAGCGCCAGGCCACAGCCATCCCTGGGGTTGGGGCAGGAGCACGTCACAGGCAGAGTCGGCGGGACAGCCCGGGGATCCCCTCGGCACGTACCCACGGGGGGCTCAGAAAGCGACATCATTCTTAGTTCCAGCAACCTCCAAGCAAGCCACCTCAAGTCCTTGTTGCACTTTGACTACCAACAGGCATATTCTCATCTCGGGCAGCGCGACCTGCCGGCATGGCTGTGGCCAAGGGAACAAGGGAGTGGCCTGGAGTGGAGAATGGAGTGTGGGGTGGAGGTGGCCGGAGGAGCTGGGAGGGGAGGGGAGCTCACCCACGCTCGCCCGCACAGGTCAGGCGCTGGTGGCGACCAACCGGTGCAGAGCTCCCTGCTCCGGCAGCCTGAGCCCCTCAGAAGGGGTCCGCTGCCGGGAGGTCCCGGGGAGGCGGGGCGGAGAGGCACTGCACAGATCTGCATCTTCCCGTCTGCGCAGGGCCAGCGGGGCAGCTCCTGGGCTTCACAGAGCGCTGTGGCCCTCTGGCCACGGGAGGGCAGTGGAGGTCAGAGGCTCTCCAGACCCACCACACAGAGCTCACGTGGGCTTCTGTGTGCACGCCGGAGCCTGGGCGGGGAGCATGGGAGGAGCAGCTGCCACCCCTCCCTGCCCAGCAGGAGGCCCAGCGTGTGGCTCTCCCAGACCAACAGGATGAGAAAGAACAAACAGCCGTCTCAAAAAAGGATTTTTACAAGGTTTACCCCAACACATGGAAAAATCTCAAGCCGATGAAATAAAAGACCACATGGAAAGGGCAGGGAAGAAAGGTAGAAGTCATTATGAATTTATTATTTACACAGTTGTTAAAGTACACAAATACAGTGGCCATACAAACGCACAGCTTGGAGACTGGTTGCCAGAGCACAGGTTGACACGGACGTCCTACCTACATTTCCTGCACGGGACGATGGGGACTAGATACCGGGCAAGGACTGTCACAACCACACTCCAAGGACACAACCCAGCAAGGTTCAGGCCGGAGCCCGGGCGCAGAGCTGCCTCGCACAGATGCTCCGGCGCTACATCCAGACCACGGATATTTACAAAGCAAGCCTGCGCCACTTCAGGCCGCAGCCGTTGGCAACGCCTTGCTGGGTGGGAGACAGCTACCCTCAGGAAGGCATCAAGCAAAAAAGAAAAATCCCTAACTCGGCTCTGACCCACCCCAACCTCCCGCTGTACTTCCAGACACACAGCCCCCACCTGCTCAAAGCCCTACACTCCAAAATGCTTACAAAGTAACCAGCTTAGGATTCGGAAAGCACCCACGGGCTCAGACGAGACGGCCAGCCGGCTGGGACAGTGCACAACTGTGTTCTGGGGTGCCTACCAGTTACGGCGTCCGGGGAACTCTGGGGAAGGGAGGGAAGAACCAAGGTGCACACCTTTGGGGCCCCCGAGTCCAAAGGGAATGTCCTCCATGACAGGGCGATGGAGGAGTGCCCACGCACACACACTGCACTGCGTGTCTGGGTCGGGAGTGCACGGCCACTGGCTACCACCCAACTGCTACGGAGTGAGAAGCGAGAAGGCATCCTGGGAACTACAGGGCACAGCAGCGTGGAGCCCGGAGCAGCACCAGCTCACGGAGGCCGCCTGCCTTCTGGTGGGACTCAGCCCCACGGACGCTGCTTCACTTCCAACAGACACGCGCCCAACATAAGGTCGAAGAGCGCAGACCCTACTTCCTCAACGCGGAGGTTTTGGGTCAGGCTGGGAGAGTCACCTGCTCCTTGACACCTCAGGGTGAGTCCCTCTGGCCCGCTGGCTTTTCTGAGCTAGTCTTGGCACCTGGCGAGGGCGGCCCCGCTGCTGGTTTTGAGCACAGGCACACACACACAGATATGAGTGCCAATTGGCACGGGAGCATTTACAGTCTGTTAAGAGAATTTACCAAGTGCAAAGGCAGCAAGGCAACAAACACCACAATAACCACACACGCCTCTCGGTTAACAATCCCCTCCCAAGGGACCAGAAATGCATCTCCCACCTTTAATCCTGGGACTCCCAACTATCTATCCTGCTAGGGTCTCAAAGCCTCTGCTTCCAAGTTCTTCAGAGTTCCGGCTGCCTGCCCACTTTCTGGGGAAGAGTGGCACTGCTTTGCCTGCTAACACCCACCGCACCCCTGCTCCGAGGCAGCCTGCCGTCCCTAAGTGCCCTCTGAGGGCCTCAAGAGTTCCCAACGCCAGGCATTTCAGTTATAGGAGGAGGGAGGGTGAGACCCCAAAACCAGGTAAAAGAGGTCCCGCCACATCTGTGCACACACACGCACCACAGACTTCTGATGAGAAATCTCCTCTCCAAAGTGGACAACAAACAAACACAACACACACCCTGGAGATCCGCCTGCACCCTCTCCCTGCCTGACTCCACTTCCTACACAAACGCCAAGCCAGCGTCTGGCTCAGGATTCCTTAGAGTCAACATCTTTTTGTAAGACCGCAAAAACAGACAAGAAAGAAACAAAAAAGACAGATTTCTTTACACAGATTTAAGCCAATAATTTTTAGCAAAATGATACAAAACTGTCTTAACCAAGTAGAAGATTGGTAGTTACAGTGGAATCGTCAGGGAGTACAGGGCGGCCACCACTGGGGGGAGCTGAGAAGCCCTGGAAAGGGCGTCTGATTCTCTGCGATTCTCTCCGCTTTTCTTCCCAGCCCCTTTACAACCGAGTTCACGTGGGGGGCTGTGGTGCAGCCCCAGCGGTGGCAGCTCTTGGAGTCTGTCCGTTTAGTTTGCTTCCCCCATGAGCGTCGCTGGGTGAGTGGCCTGGAGAGCTCCCGGTGTTAACATTTCGGTCCTAGACCGGGGGACGCGTCACTAGTAAAGCCATTGGTAACAGAGTAGATCAGCCATGCATTGTCTGCCCTTCACAGCAATAAGGAGTTCTCATCGGTGCACGACAGACTGAAGACCACTGGAAGCCACCCGACCAGGAATCTGTCGGAGCCAAAGCACAGGAGAAGGTCAGCATGGGGCCGGGGGAGCCGG